TCCCATGCAGATGTGCTTCGCTTCTCATGCGTTGAGCGAAAGGCTGCTTGAGCAAATCCTTGGGTGATGCATTTAAATCAGCGCAATGGACACCAAATGTACCAGACTTTGGTACGCCAACAGAGCGTCCAGTGCTTGCAACCAACCTCCCGCCGGACCCGCGTTTGAAGTTGAAGACCTATCAGCAGTCACGAAAGCGAGCTCAGAAGGAGCTCAGCGGAAGTTGTTGTTTACGAAATATGGTGATGCTCAAAATTGAAAGGTTTAGTGAACTAATTGATTCTTTCAATTAAAGGGAGGGGTCAGCCGAGGGGGGCCCCACCTCCCTTTTTATTGATTCTTTCAATAACACCCCCCCCCTCGCAAAGGAATTGATATTTCAATTTGCAGATTGAAACGTCTAGGGGGGGCCCTCCCCCCCTGTAAAGTGAATTGAAAGAGGCTATTCGACTCCTCCCTCGTCCTTGTGAGAATGAAAGTCGAGTTTTTTTTTTAGTGTTCGGTTGACTCAGCCAACAACACTTTGCGCTCGTGGCACAAAAGCGTTGCGTTGCTGCCCTCCCTCCGCGTCCCCTTGATCCTTCCACACCCCTCGCTTTCGTCCCCACTGTCCTCAAGTAGAAATGCCTCGAATCTTGTGGGTCAGCCACTGATATTTGGAGTCTAGTTGAAACAAGCCTTGTGTGCGGTGCTTTTTTTGGAGCAGAAGGCGCCTTCTTCACTTCTCTCACCTTTTGTCCACTCCGCTACCACCCCTGTTTAGCCAGCTTCGAGGCTCAGCTACCGCGAGGAGTGCGGACAAAGCATCTGAATTTCTGTGGTTTTTACACAGGGCCTTTGCTTGCAAGGTGCCTTATCCGATAGAACATGGTGCGCAGGGCTTGTGCCGTACACTTGCAGCTGCGGATGATATAGACTAGCTCAGATTTCGGGTGTTGGCTTCAGTGTTTAGATTGTTGCAGACGAAAACGTTTGCGCGCCCTTGTGTCAAAGCCTTTTGCAATGCCCTCGGAAAACAAGTTTGTTCTCTCCACAAGTCGGGCTTGCCCTATTTATCCAATGCGTCTGTTTGTGTCCTCCCACAGCAGTGGTCTGACTTTAGGCCTGACTTTTGCTCAAAATTGTGTTTGGACTTGCTAAAGACCTGCAAGCAGCAGTAAACACGCCAAAGCTTTGTGGGTTTGCCGTCAATATTTCGATCTTAGTTGAAACAAGCCTCGTACAGTGCTGCTTCTCGCCGTGGACTTGTCCTCAAGTCAATGTTCAGACGTTTATTTGTACGGCTGCTCTTCCAGCAGCGTCAGCTGCGGTGCCGTGCTTCGGTGCTGCGGTCTTTGGAAGTCCTTCAGGTCGGCTTCAGGTCGGCGCGCCAACGTCGGTGAAGCCACATGAAGGCCGGGCGCACGCACCGGGCGCACGCACACACCGCCCGGTGTCCCGCGGTGTTGGCGGGTGCAGGGACTGGGCAGAGGCCTGGCACTGAGCATACTGCTCCAATGTCGTTAAGTGGATGGCAGGGTTTCTGGAAGGACCAAATCCACAAAGCAAGGGGACACAACAGTTGTCCACTTCCACGTTTGTTGGAGGGAGGCTATCTCCACTGTTTCTGCTTCTTACAGTTGGTTAGGGTTTTAACTTCTCTCTTTGGCACCATCTACAAGTGATGGGTTCAAATATGACTCCGAGCTGTTTGCTTAAACGGATTTGACATTTTGCATGGAATACTTGCCGAGGATTGTTTGAGGTCTCCTTTATATCTCAATTTTGTGTTTAGCCTAAGGTGTGGGGAATGGGGAGTTCCTTAGCAGATGAGCTCTAGCAACGGGGGGGTGCCGTCCGAAGCGTGAAGCAGGTTCAGCATGTTTGAAGCATCTTATGTAATTCATCGTGCCCTCTTTCGGCTCCCAATACCGTCACCCTCCTCGAAACACCACCAAACACCCGTTGCACCATGGGTCTCAGCACAGTGGGAGACCCGCTCGTCTCTGTCCTGTCAGGAGGGGCTCTTTTATGTGGCGCATCGCTGTGGCGCATCGCTGTGGCGCAGAGTCCGTGATGCGCATCGCTGCGGAAAAAGAATTGGCCTTTTCAGTTCGAAAGATCTTTGCATCGCGAAACCGCGGGGAGCCCAACTCCTCCACCGCGGTGGGCCTTCTGGTGATGTGTTCAGCGATGTCACCGTTGGAGACAGCCACCGCCGTGGGAGACCCGCGTGGTCTCCCACCACGGCCGCGTCGTCAGGCTTTGCCGCGGGCGCCGAGGTCTATGCCGTGGAGAACCTCACCGACACTCGGCGACATGCCGACGCGGGATGGGACGGAAAACACCGGCGGTGATGGGTCCGTCATAGGAAGAATCAGTTGGGAACATGTGGGAACCATACAAGTGGAAGTATATAAGTCATAAGTCATTATACGTCCCCACGTGGGTGTCTTGGAAACACATTTCCATGCGGGAGCCAGGACCGTTGAGTCCTGGACCATTGGGTTTGTCAACTGCGAAAAACATCCGAAAGGGGCAGTCTGCGGGGTTTTCTGCGCCCTTGGGTTGCTTTTCAACATGGCAGGTTTGGGATCCTCCTGATGAGTGTTACCTAGTGTTACTTTCATCGAGTTGGAGCGAGAGGTGAATCTTTTTGGATGTTTATCAAGCAGTTCTTAAGCAATCAGGAGGTGTCGGCGTCGAAAGGGGTTCGGTTGGTGTGGCTTGTGAAACGAGTCATGAGTTTCATCCAGGGGCTGTGCAATGTGACGTTCAGGGCACCAACATACAACTTTTGGAAATCTGCTGGATTGTTTGGTCGTGTTTTTTTTGCTTCCAGCTGGACCCAGCTTCTGTTGGAAGAAGTACTGAAAAGCACCAGCTGAGACCAGGGAAAACCAATCAAGGAGAACCTCCAGACCGTTCCTCCCCTTTTCCAGCTTAATGCTGGCGGTGTTGACCGCTACAGTGCTACAGTTAGTTGGTGAACTTACCTCAACTTCTCCTGGCTAGGGAGTCTGGGTTCTCCCGCTGGGTTCTCCCGCCAGCTAGAAGAGTCCTACATTCGAAGTTCCACTGCTTTGGTGGCACTTCGTCATGGCACGGCGGCGCCGCGAACCCGGCCGCAACCCGGACGAAAGCCCCGCCCCGCAACCCGTTCCGGTGGACGACCATCTGCTGAGCCGTGCAACCCATTCGAAACCGAAAGCCATCCATGATTGAAAGCCACGTTCTCGTGCAAAGAGGACGTGGAACCCAGGACTCGACCGTCGACGTCGGCGGATCGGGGCTCGGGGAAGGTGAGGACGAAGAGGACTGCGTTTCGTGGCCTCCACCGGCCTCCGGACATGTCGTGGATGATTTTGGAGGCACAGCTGGCTGCAGTCTGTACCTAGATCTTCCAACTATGCAACATTTATGCCTTTTGGCTGGTTTTCTACACTAAAAGGCATACATTTTGCATAGTTGTAAGATCTAGGTATACAGTATACCTTCTTACTTTTTTTTCCCAAACACTGGTGCCAACACATGTGTTGCAGAAGAGATTTTCATGGTCTTCCAAGACTTGATGTCCACCCTATCCTCTACCATCCTCTACACGGCCCGAATCGGCCCCTGAGGTCAGTGAGGGGAACTGCAGCAAGGTGGTGGTGCGCTGGGGCGCCAAGGGCGAGGTCCTGTCCGAGCAGTCCGAGCAGGTTCCCCCCGGCTCCGGGGCGCAGGTGGTTCGTGGGATGTGCGTGGCGTCCGTGGTGGGGGCGCCCATGTTCTCGGATTGGTGCCGTGGTGCCGTGTGGTGCCGTTGAGGGACTCAGGGAAGACTCCTGGTTCGGACAGGTCCAGTGACAGGCCTCCGAATTGGAAGCTGGAGGTTGAAGCACTGGTGTGTCCAGGTAGGAGTTGGGCTTTTACATCCTCCCACTGTTTTCTGATGTGGACGATGTCTGGGGAGAGGTCCGTCCGTCGCACGGACTCGGACTCCCGACCAGATCCGTCGTGCGACGGCCAGGAGGGGCAATACTTGGTGAACTTCCCCGAGGCCTCGTCGCTGGTGAGTTCCAAGCTGAGCGCCTTCCGGCGGAGTTCGAGGGGAGGGAAGGAGTGTGGGGAGGAAGACTCCCGCAGTTGCGGCCCCGGTGACCATTCTCCCTTCGCAGAGCCGCTGGTTTTCTTGCTTGCTTTCTTTCTTTTCTTTTCTTTTTGTTGATCTTCTTGTTTGTTTTTTCTTATTTATATATATATATATTTTTTTTTTTCTCTCTCTCTCTCTCTCTCTTTCTTCATTTCTTTCCATCCCTCTTGCTGCCTGATTTACACTTGCGACAGAACCTACTCCTGGCACACTGGTTTTGGAACACCTGCAACAAGACTTGCCTAGAAAGCACACCGACCTCGTGGCACAAATGTCCCCAACATGAACCAGGATATTTGATGGGGTTTATATCGATTCCGTCTCGGACTTGAAAGGAGAACGGTCCGGATGAATGATGATCAAATCCACAACGACACCCACAAACACCTTTTCTGGATTTGGCTCCATCTCCCTTCCACCCATGCTGGTCGCCCGACGCACTGTCGCCCGCGGTTCTACCGGTGCTCACGACCCGAAGCCGCGGGTGGTGAACCCCGCGCTCCGCGGTTCAGGTCTCGGCGGAGCAGTTGTCTCTGGAGGCACCTCGCTTTCGGCAAGGCAAGGAGAGGAGGCAATCTGGTCGTGGGTGTCCAGAGTCGACATCTCCAGATGTGCTACACACAGAGGGTGATCAGTGGTTTTTATCGGACCAACGCCTCCGAAGGTGGCTGGATGGTGAAATCGATGGCTTGGCTGGTCGCAGTATTGAAGCGAACCAAGCCACTCCGCTTTTCATGATACCCTGTCAGGATCTAAAACCATCCAGGACCCCCAGGACGCTCCCGTTACCCGACTCAGGGGCCCTTCATGGACACCCGGAATCCGGCTTTGCTATCACGATGTTCACTCCGACGTCCCACTCCGCTCTACCTGCGGACCAGGCCAATGGGTGCAACTCGCCAAGGAGATTCACTTCAGGAGACGGGTCGACCGGGTCTGAACCGCTCTGGATGAAGGCACGGCAGGGAGGCATAGCTTAATGAAGATCCTGGATGGTGTTGATTCTTAGCTCGATCCTCCTTTGTTTTGGGTATTCAATTGGTTGAACAAAGGGTGTCAACATCCACCATCCACGGCCATCCGGCCTGGCCCCAGGGTCCTGTTGCCAAAGAGTCCAGGGTCCCAGGAGCCAAGTGGTCCGTCACTCCCAGCCTCTCAAGGAGCAAGCGTGCCTTGCGCGCCGGGCAACCGGGGGTGATCCGCGACCTTCGGGTGTACGAAGGGTCGGAGTGTGAGTCCTTGGTGCTGCGCTTGCCGCCTGTAGGGGCAGTGGACAGCTTCGACTTCAGTGCCACTCGGGCAGACCACAGAGCGGAGAGTGTGGTGTGGGCGCGGGGTGAGTCGCGTACGTGGGGGGCGAGGGGAGCGGTAAGGTTGCTTGGTAAGGCCGCCGACCGGTTTCTTCTCCGGTTTCGCGGACCGGGGCAAGAAACCGGCGGCTGCGTGCAGACCGGGTCCCCAGGTGTGCAGACCGGGTCCCCAGGTGTCGCCCAAGGACGTGGTTGAGATGAAAGGCCTCCCGGCGAATTTCGCGAACTGCGGCTCCTTTGTGCTGCCGGGCGGCTTCGCGCCAGGCTCGGTACGTACGTTTTTTTGGGGCTGCCGGCGGGGTCTGGCGTGGTTTTACAGTACGTGGAACTCACAGTTGCTTTGCGTTTTTCTTTTCCCAAAGCGGTTTGGACCTCGGTTTGGTCCCTCTTTGGACCTTGGGTCAGTCAGTTTGGACCCATCCGTCGGTCTCGGCCGGTCGAGTGAGGCGATATGGTGTTCTCCCAGGGCGACATCATCGTCCAGGTGGGGCCAAAAGGATTTCCAGAGGTGCTACTAGGAGCAAGGACGCCACTAGGGGCTCCTACTAGGAGCAAGAAGCTACCAGGGGCTCCTGGCATCGCTACTAGGAGCAAGAAGCTACTAGGGGCTCCTGGCATCGCTACTAGGAGCAAGAAGCTACTAGGGGCTCCTGGCATCGCTACTAGGAGCAAGAAGCTACTAGGGGCTCCTGGCATCGCTACTAGGAGCAAGAAGCTACTAGGGGCTCCTGGCATCGCTACTAGGAGCAAGAAGCTACTAGGGGCTCCTGGCATCGCTACTAGGAGCAAGAAGCTACTAGGGGCTCCTGGCATCGCTACTAGGAGCAAGAAGCTACTGGGGGCTCCTGGCATCGCTACTAGGAGCAAGGACGTTACTAAGTGGATCCGCTCTGATTGGGCTGGTGAAGCCAGCTTAGACTGCGAAGGATCCACCCAAAACCTTCCAACCTTCGCACCGCTTTGGCGGGTGGACCCATTCCCTATCGTCACCATTCTCAGCCATTCCCTAGCTGGCACGGGGCGTTTCTCTTGGCTGGTCTTTCTATGTCTTTCTCCACTCCGGCTCGCTGGGGCGAGCTGCACCTCGCCTAGCGGACGCGGCGCTCCCTAGGCGCTGCGTCTCCTCTCCGCGTGTGCGAACGCGTTCAGGCGCCCGAGGGTGGAAAGACCGTGGCCGTGGGCTACGGCGATGTGGGCGACCTGGCGCGGTGAGACGGACTGGACAGAAGCGAGCGGTTGGGGTTCGGTGTTTGGGGGCTCTTCAGTTGGGTTTCTGGTGACATCTGACATCATCTGACCAAACCAGATGCCCATACAATCCCATACACAGATGCATATAGAGGATTATAGAGGGCATTTCACCCCTTTGTCTTGGGCGGCACACCACTCCGTCGAAAAGCACGACATGTTTTTGTCGAGCTCGGAGTTTGGAAAGCAACGTGGACACCGAACTTGCGGCTTGAGGGCTTGCAATGAACTAGCAGTAAGGCATGAAACCTCGAACAAATCGACTCTAAGAAACCATCGCTAGAGGTTGGAGGCCATCGCTAGTAGGTTGGAGGCCACCGCTATTAGGTTCCTTAAAGTCAGTTGAACAAGGGATGAAGCATCGAACAAAGAAAAATAACGGCTCTTCTTCCCTTCCAGGACACTCCTGTCTGGGTGTCCTGGCATGTTTGGTCCTACTATCGTAGTCGGGTAGTCGGGTAGTCCAGCCAGGTGACCCAGAATGGGATGGTCCTGTAGGTTTCCGTCCCAAAACACAGCCACTGGTCGCCACTGGTTTCATTTGAGGCATGGTCTTCGGGGAGGCCATCTCCCCGGAGTCCCGGCAGAAAGGCGGGGTGAGGAGGGGAAGACCGTCCCGTCGCGGTCCATGTGTGCTGTGACTGGGAGATGTGACCGGGTGGAGAGGTGGATAAAAAGGTGGAATGGATGGGGTGTCCGTATATTGTATCACTATTGTAGAGGAAGGCCTCTACTAAGCATCATCATCATCATCATCATAATAATAATAATCATCATCATCATCGTCCACTGTTACAGGGAATAGGATATACCCCAAGGAAAAATGGATCTTTCCTGTCGGGCATATCGCACCGACATCCCGACGTCCATGGCCCGACGCAGTCAGGTGAGCTGCTGATCCGTTTCGAGGCACGACAGGACTTGGGGAACCCCGTCTTCCTGTCGGCCACTGAGAGCAGTTTGGACGGCCGGGGTCAAACGCGCGAGTAAGAGTACACGGGGTTGACCGACCGGTCAGGCCAGTGTGTTCGTGGTTTCGCAGCCTGGTTGAAACATCCACTTTTTGGTGCCAAAGCAGCCGGGCTGGACCACTTGCTCTGGTCTACAGTCTACAGATTTCGACCACCCCTCACTTCCTCTTCCAGGGGCTCCGGACCCTCCAGTTCGCAGAACCTCCAGGCCCTCCCTCAAAAAGAGCGCACTCTGCGGTTCGATATAGAAGAAGATAGGATGCCCCCCCCCCCTCCACCAGCTCAGCTCTCTTCTCCGCTTTGGTGGCCTTCGGGACCGGGGCGCGAACCGCTTCGAAGCGCTTCGGGGTCGACCGGTCGAGCTCAGAGGAGTGACGTTGGTCCCTAAGAGGGGGGGGCAGGGCAAAAGCGTGGGGCTCTGGGGAGTGTGCCCAGGAAACCGCATGGATAGCTATTAAGCGTCATGAAGCCGTGTGACTGGGGCAGAACTGGCTCCAGTGCCATCATGTGCCATGTGTCGCAGGTCATGTGTCGCAGGTCATGGTTCAACCTGTTGAGTCCTCCACCACCTCTCTTTTGCCCACCCAATTGCTGCGTTGGACCTTTGGCAAAGAAGCGCAAGCCTCATGCAAAACGTAGAAAAAAAACGTTCGACTTCGACAATATTAAACATAGTATCACCAGAGTGTTGAAGGAGAAGAACGTCACTCTCCACAGATGAAGGCTTGACTGCCACAAACAAATGGAAAAAGCAAAGGTAGGGCACCTTCGATTCGAACAATTACCTGTGAGCTGCGTGAGCAGGATATTTTGCCCTCACGCTACAGCGGACAGATTCAAAAAGAACTGGTATGGCGGTATGATAGAGGACAGGACCCAAACAAGTGCCACTCTCTTCCGCAGGCTGTGGCCGAAAGCGAAACACAGAGGGGCGGCATAGAATCAACACGTGAAAAGCGGAACCAAGACAGATGGAGAACACATGCTTATGCAGGCCGGGCCTGGCCGAGAAAGAGCGAAAAAAACACGGTCCACAGGGGGGAGGTTAGCAGCAGAACCACAGAACCACAGAACCAGATCGAAAAACAATCCACCTCACAAGATCCCAACATCTGGGACCACCTGCCCCCCACCTGCCCTCGGACCCCCCCAAAACCAAAATAAACAAGAGACCCTCAAGATCCAGCTCCGCGTCCCACTTGCTGAAGCAGTTGCTGGTGTTTCTGAGGTGAATCCCAAATCTTTGAGTCGCCACCCGCTCTTAGTCGCTGGACGCCACGTCGAGCTCACCAAACCCTTGAGATTTGCCGATGGCACTGTGCCCCGGCCAAGTGGCACTCATGGGCGGTTCGGTGGATGGTGGTGGACCTTACTACCGCGGTCCGGTAAAAAGGTGAGGTGTCAGGCTCTGGGCACCATTCGAAGTCCAGTCCGACTATTCTGGGCGACGTAGGGTGGAAATTCCAACTTCGGATCACCGTTTTGGTCAGACTGTTTAAACGCATGGTCTCTCCTGGACCTTTTAAGGGGATCTATCCATTCGCGTGTGGAACTTCACCATCCGAACTTTCTCAGTAGACATCCATCATCTGCGACGGTCTGTCTACTAGAAGCTACTAGGAACAAGTGCCACGCTACTAGGAACAAGTGCATCGCTTCTAGTAACCGGTGCCTTACTACTAGTAACAAGAAGCTAGTAGCTCCAGATTTTTCCGGACGCGGTGAGGTCTTGGAGAGCGGCCGCGAGGGCGTGGTGGTGCAGACCATCGGCGATGGCTACGAGGCCGACATCGTGCAGGTGCATGACGGGCAGCAGGCGACTGGGGGAAGTTTTCAGCCGGGGCTGGGCTGGAACAGGCACTTTGAAGGGGCAGTCTGGCATGGAGTGCAGATTCTTGCTTTCGAAAAGAGGAGGGAAGTGGAAGTGAGTGCCGAGCAATGCGTGTAGGGTGGTTTATGAGAGTGGGAATAGATACAAAGCTAAGGCTACAGGGTGGCTCCCAAGTAGTCCCATGTCGCAGGCGCTATCCATAGCTCCTCTTTCGGAGGGTTTGAGCACTGTTGCATTTTTGATCATTTTTGCATTTTTCTGTGTATGTCTTTGCATCACTATTGGAGGGAGAATAGGGTGATAGAGGATGGAATCAAAAGAAGTCTTTACCAATACCCGTCGAGCATGTTCAAATCCGAGCAACTCGACGCTGGCACCGAGTAACTCGACCGGCCAACCTGGCCTTTTCGCAGCTTCAGATCGGCAGCGCTGCCGATCTGCCGTGCCCCCATCGGCCCCCCCACGTGCCTCGTGAACGTTCCAAGTTCCTCAGGAGCGAAGCTTTCAACCGGTGGCCGATTCCTTTGTCATGGTCAAGGAGTCCAAGAAGAGCCTTGAAGTCCTTGAGGCGGCTCGGCCAGGAGGGGAGCTGAAGGTTGGCTCTGAAGTTTCTTTTGGATGCTTGTTTGAGCAGCTAGCATGACTTCTGTCTTTTCACCTAGAAACTAGCGATCTTCATTGGCTCAAGTCACGAACAGTTACAACAAACTGCACTCAAGAAAAGTGGCCTGTTGGAATCATTACGGCTACGGTATCACTTGTGGTATATCATCCTGCTATATCATTGTTGTTTATTGTTATTATGTTGTTATTAAAACTATTATTGCTATATATTACTTATGTTTTTTTTCCCCTACCATTTTCAACTCAAGACGGGTTCCAACACTTCTGCCCCCCATCTCTGCCGGCGGCATCATACCGGTTTCTTGGAGGCGCGCCTGCAAGAGTTGGAGACCCTGGCGTTGATGAACGACCGCGCGGGCAAGACCCGCAGGAGACGCGCCGGAGCGGCTGAGCGGTGCGACCGCAGAATGGGCCGTTGGGGGCGTCACCTGAAAAAGAATCTGGAACATGGTGATGTTTCATGGAGGGCAGGGGGGGTTCACTGGAAATTACTTTACAGGCAGTTTGGTTTTTGGGAAGGGTTGGAGTTGGAAGGAAGAGTGGCAGAGAGTTGAAGGGACGGGTGAGATGGTTCTCTGCAACAGGCAGCATGTAGGGCAAGAGTTCGATTGCAACGAATGCGAGATTGGAGAGATGGAGACTACATTCAGGGTTCAGGGCTGTGGCTGCATGGGGTGGCAGCTTCCATGTTAACCAGAAGGGCCTGCCATGTTGTCACCACATGCGCATCATGGCTTACAGGGCGGACTGAAGCCCCCTACCAAGCATGAGCTTGAGGAGAATCCATTTGTAGATTGCTAGTGTCATTTCCTCAGTGTTGATGGAAGCACCGTGTCACCCGGCCTCTAACCCCCGCCAGAACCGGGTTGGCCATTTTCGACTGCCTACAGAACGCCCCTTTTTGGCCCACCGGGTGCACTTCCAACGGGTGCCCTGGAGTAGGAGACCTGTTGACGTAATTCTATTGGACACCCCTCCGTTCCTCAGATGCTCCGTCGCCAGGAATGTGTCGATGCTGGATCAGAACCTTTGGGCCCTCTGTGGCTTCGGTTCGGGTCTCAACATCTCCTTCTTGACGCACCAGCCGCCCGGTGGAGATCGGCCCACGGTGTTCGTTTGTTCTCGGCTCCTGCGACCTGTCGGGCGACGGATTTTGGAGTTCGACCTGTCGGGCCAAGCTCGGTGGTCTCACCAGAGAGGGTGAATTCAGGTGAATTTCCCTTCAAGAAAGGGGCTTGCGGAAGAGGAAGAAACGAACCATCACTCCCTATCGTAGTACCAATTTGCATTGGGACCTGTTTTGTTGGTCTTTGGGATCACCCAACGACTGAGCCGATTCCCTAGGTCCAAGTGGCCTCGGCTGGGCAGTCTCTCCGCGGACAACAGGCGACGAAGAGTGTCTGGTAGAGTCGTTATGTGGAACCCGGGGGAGTCCTGACTGGGATCGTTTTATTTGTTTTTTGCGTCTGGCCGAAAAAACGGTCAAAGCTGCGTTTGGCCGAAGAGGGATCCACGAGATTGGTGAAACATTGACCAGGTGTCGTGCAACACCCACATTGATTCACCCGTCTTTCATCCATCAAATCACACCCTATAAGGGGCCTAAGGGGGGTGGAGATCGATCTCTCTCTCTCTCTCTCTGCGGGGGGCGGGGTGGGTTTCCAGATTTTGCTGTCTCTTGCCGAACAGATTGGCACGTGGAACGAACCCACGTGTTGAGCTGTTTGTTGGACTGACGTTCTTGTTTCAACCCTGGAGGGATGGACTACTTCGTCAATTCTAGGAGGGCCAGATGGTTCGCAGAACCACCCAAGCGGCAACCACCCAAGCGGCTCGAGCATTCTTCCTCTCTTTTCTCTTCTCGTCACATCCAAGGCTGTGAGATCCAGATTCAAAAGGAAGAAACCACGTCCTTGTGACGTTCGTAGCTTCATTTTCTGTTCGTAGCGATGGGCCTCCACCATGCGTAGCTTCCTTCCCACACCTGGTCCGTCCGCTCTAGATGGATCGGCGCCCCCGCTGCGGCGGCGTCTCCGGCTCCGCGCAAGCGCCGGAACCGCCGCGCTGCCGCGTTCCGCCGTGGACCTTCCGTTTCCGTTTTGGCTGACCGGCGGCTGACCGGCGGCTAACCGGCGGTGTCGGCTAACCGGTGGCGCCAGGTGTTTGACCTTGAAGCCGACCTCACAGGAGGGCTTCGATGGCACGTTGGGCGGCGAGAGCACAGCACCTCGGGGCGAAAGGAGCGGGAGATTAGAGTTTTTTTTGAAGAGGTGTGTTTCTTGGGTTTGGGTTTAGGGGGGTGACATCCAGCTTGCTGGGGAGATGCGTCGGGATCAAAAGACACCCGTTGTTGAGCCATACAGTGACAAAGGTCTTGCCGGTCTTGCGGATGAAAGCGGATGAAAGCGGATGAAAGCTATTCATTAAAGACGGTCTTTTTTGATGTACTGTTCACACCCCAAAAACAGCAGAATGGTTTTCGTTGACCTCCAGGCGCCAGGAAAAGGGCTTTCGTAAAGAAACCACGGACCCACATGACGGAGCCCCGATGGGTCAACCGAAGCACCGCAGCAGAGCAATTGGACACGTGTCTCCAGAAACGAGAAAAAACCCTGCGAGGATGCGTAGACGGGGCAGACGAAGCAGACTGAGCAGGACCACTGTGTTTCGACCAATTTCCGTCGACTACCAAAGCAGTTCCGTCAAGCAGTTCCGGAGCTAGACTGGGTACATTCTGCCTCACGAATGCTTCCAGACATTGAAGTAACTAAGGAAAACAGTTGGGGATCAGTTAGTTTAAGCATGAACTCAAAGCAGAACGTTGATGCTGTTAATTTCTTTTTCTCCAGGTCACTTTGATGTTCTGAGTTAAAGTAAGTTCACGGATCACTGAGGAATAGAAGAACAACATATGATAAATGATTGTTTCGACAGGACACTGAAAGGATATTAATGGACACATAAATACGGAGTTAAGGAAAGCATTCAAGGGACCAATTGAAGGTAGCAAGAACAAATCAGTGCTTTTGCAAGACCCATGAAAAGGAACTCGCGGAAACAAATGCGGAGACAAGACGGACATGAATACAAAAACCGATGTGGCAAACGTAAGGATTCAAAAGGAAAAAGGAAAGGTGTTCTTCAAGCAACAACATCGACCAAAATCCAAAAACTAAGTAAGGGAAAACAGGGAAACCTGGCGCGATTACAAGAAAGGATAGGGAACCATGGCCCGTGGCCTTCTTCTTTTTCCCAGACGTCATTTGTATGTTTTAAGTGTGATGGCATACAAGAAACTGAACGAATTGCAAAAAAGCAGCACCATTATGTTGAAAGGGTGTGCAAGCAAATTGAAGGAAACAAAGAAGGAAACAAGAGGAACACGAAAGGGATTTAAAGACATAGTGGACTTGAAAGGGCTTCAAAGGAAACATGAAAGATGTTGAACGGGAAATGAACGAAAATCGATTGGAAGGGATGCCACATTGATTCTAAAAGAACACTATATTCAATATCCATTGATGTTCTTCTTGTCTTAACAATTTTTACAGTGTGATGAGGTGATCATTAGGGAACTGGAAAGAAAACCCTGCAGTTATTTTGAAAGGACGTGCTAATGAACTCACGGAAACAATAAGGAAACAACAGGAACATGAGAGCTTTGTTGTTTTTGGACTCGACTAACATTTATATGAACGTATACATGTGCTCAAAAATACATGTGCTCATGCTTCAACAAAGCGGGAGCCGTGCCAGAGTACCTTCGCCACCTTGTCACACTCTACCCTAACGGTTCGCAGTTGCTCAATTTGTTTTCTTTCGGCCTCAGCTGTCTCGCCCGATCCAGGCCCCGTCTTCCATCTTCCCTTCACTGAATCCCAAGCGCTTGCGTTCGACTCGTCTTCTGCACCTGATGCCCTCCTCGGGGGTCACCCGCGAGCGTGGACGTTTGGTCGTCCAGGGAGGTGGATTCTCGCACTCACAACACGGGGGGGGCGGACTGAAGGCTTCAGGTGTGGACACCATCTCCACCCCAAGCTTGCCAAGCTTTCAGTCCACATCAAGGTCCATGGTGCGTGAGGGACACTCCCATCTGGCACAGCATGGAGGACACCACTTGACCGTCAGCACTTCGCTTTTGTTGAGGCTTTCATTAGTGCGACAAAGTTGCCAGTTCTGAGGCCACAGCTCCCAGAAGTTGCTTGCCGCACCACATGTGCACTGCAAAGTTCCCACTTCTGAGGCTTTTTGGACGACAGCTACACACTTTGGCCACCTCCACATTCGTTTTCGACGACAGTCACACACTTTGGTCACTTCCAGGCGCGCCATTTCCGATGACAGTTGCGCACTGTGGTAACTTCCACCTGCCACTTGACGACAGTACTTCACCTCACGTTCGAGCACTCGACATGTACAATCTCTGCACAGGGCTCACCAAGCACAACTCAAAATCGCACTTCACCTCACGTTTCAGCACTCGACACGCACGATCTCCACTGCGGCCAGACAAAATTCGCACTTCACCCTCAGAGGGTTCACCAAGGACAATTCAACTTCGCATTTCGCCTGACGTTTCAAAAACTCGACACGCACGGTCTCCGCCCACGACGATTCGCAATAGAACCGCAGTTTGGCGCATCCGACCCGCACGATCTCCGCAGAGGTTTGCGTTTTGTGAATTTTGTAGGTGTCTTCACCTATCTCTCAACACCTGTATCTCAACACCTGTATCTCAACACAGGTGTTTCCCCTTCATCCATGCACTTGATGATGATAACGGTTCCGGTTGACAATCTCATCAGTCACCTGCATCTCTGCAACTTCCTATCATGATGATGATAGTGATGATGATGATGATGATGATGATGATGATGATGATGATGATGATG